GTCTGTCTCATCTTTCTCACTCGAATCATCACCCACTCATTCCCACGATTTCTGAAAGAAGGCTGAAGAGGGCCTTCCGCCCTACCTTTCGGAGGGACTGCCCGCCCGTCAGCATTACTGGTGGTGAGAATGAAACTCCCAAAAGTTTAAAAAGAGTTTTTTTCAATACAAGTCAGTCAGCACAAGTAATTCGTAAACATCTTCAAGCCAATCAAGTCCTTGTACATTTTTTCTTTTATTATTTTCATTGTACATATTTCCTCGTTCAATTAGTTTAGTTTATTTGGTTATTTAGTTTCAATATAATTTTAGTTTGTACTTATTTTGTAAATATTTCGTTTTTTTATTAATGAATTAAATTTCTTAAAATCGTTAAGAGTTTGTTCAATAAAAAATGTGGTACAGCTGTATACCAAGAAAAGCGGTATAATCTACACTTAATTTTCTTTACAATATGAATATGATAAAACCAGCCTTTTGTGCATCTGAAGGTTCATGATTTTCTAAACTATCTATAGATTTACACTTACACAGGTTTTCGTGTGCAAATCTTGTTTTACTGGGTACCTATAACAAGTATTAACAGATGCGGGCGTCAATCTGATTCACTTTCTATAAAATCGCTGCAAAATCAAATAACACGTTTCGAGTAATTGATTTTACCGCAGAAACGAGATGTTACGAAGAACTTTTTTGGTAGCTACAATACGACATGCAATCACGAAAAAGTATGTACTATCGGCTGTATTCGTTCAGTTGTGAGCTGAAAAGTATTTACAACTATCAGCAACAGTAGGTAATTGTTAAATTGTTATTTGATCGTAGTAGCACTTGCGACCGTGTTTTCTTTACGTTTTCTGTAATCGTAGTATTTAATTTCAGATACCTAACGAGTTAGTTTAATCTAAGCCAATATACATTTCATTACCACAATATTAACTTTAACCTATGCAGGAACTAAGCTGTTGTCTATTAAGAAACTGGATATTAACGTTATTCAATCTCTTTAGGTATATCTAGTATAAAAGAATGAACGACGAACAATACATTTTTATCTTAAACTAAAATGAATTCCGTTACGATCTGCGGGTACGAGATTATGAATTTAAGCACGTATTGCGTCTGTTTTTGGGTTCTAATTTATGAGATTAAAATGATCTACTATGCAGAAAAAAATTCAATAGAAACGCCACGAAAGTTTAACGAAGCTTTTGTGAAAGAAAGGTTTTTGCTTGACACTCCCTACAAAAATACAATATTTACACACGTTTTATCCTTACAGTTTGTAAAATATGCTTCGTACTTTATTGTTCTTTTACACGTAGAGACCATTCACAAAATAATAAAAGTATTAATATGTTTAATGGCTTCTCTCAGCAATATGTTGGCAGTCAGATACCATGGTAATACGTACCTATCAATTTTTAATTGAAATTTAATTTAAATGACCCCTCTTGCATCTTCAAAATTTGCAGGTCGTTAAATATAAAATATAGATGTCGCATATTTATTAATTAGATGCTTAATGGTAATTTGATGTTTTGCACACTAGTAGAACTAGAAAGTGTAATGAAATTAGTGAAGACTTTATTGACGGCAGGAAATTTACTATGGTATAAAACCGAAAAATGTAACGTCACGCGTCACGCGCCACATGTGACCCCTGGCGGATACGTCCAAAAGGAAACATTTTAACAAGCTTCAGAAGCTAACATGTTATACTTCATTTACGTTCTATAGCGATGTGCCCCTTCCAATGTCTTGGATGCGCTGGCAAAATCGTAGGTAGGGAGAATGAAGCTCATTATACCCTCGACTCTTGTTCATTAAACATACTTTTTCATATAGTACCTGCCAAATGTTTGGTTCAATCATGAATAGTAGTGCGAGTCGAAAACAAGCATTAAAGCCTTTAATATGTCTTCAAATATAAATAAACATCTCGTTGATTTTTTTCAGTAGTAAATGGTACCAATAACAGCACATTTGAGCAATGCAATTTTAATGGATAAAATGGTCAATTTATCCATGCAGTACTGTACGGATTGAACGCTCCTCACCGGTTAAGAGTTTGGCCGAGAGTTGTCTTCTTTCTTTTCTGGCCTAGTGCTGTTCTTTTCTACTTTGCGCCGGTCAAACTGAAGGTCACATCGCTACAGAAACTAAACGAAGTGTACCTATTTATGATGATGTCAAATAACCAGAGCAAAATAATTTCAAATCCCCTCTTCTGCTTTGAAATAACTAGATTGTAATGGTAACAGGACGCAAGTTTTAGACTAAAAACTACCAGGAGTCCTCAACTAAGCTACTGGCCGAAATGTCAGAATAATGAAACTGACCAGCTAAAAAGAAACGATTTATTCAGAAGAACGACAGCATCGTCGTAACCAGGCTAGTCTCGCTTCAGAATCCCATGAAAGCATCAAATTCAATACCGATAAGTTCTTTTTTAAAGGTTTATACGCAGAATAATGACCTTGGCTGTAAATTGCTTATTTTTGTGTAAATTCCGCATTTTTACTGGAATTTAGCGTCAAGTCGGAATTTATTTAGCGTTGGCGCTTAAAATCCCTAAATCATTCGCTCCACAATTCATTTATAGCGAAAAGTGGGGCAATAAAGTGTATTGCAGTGGTATTCGTGTTAAGTAGTAGATTTATTGACAGACAGATGCTTTGTTTTAAGTAATTTCCATTATTTAAACTAACAATATAAAACAGGCAAATTAACTTAAAAAATGTTATATTTAACCAGCTGAGATCGCAACACATCCACATTAATCAACTACCGAATCTTTATCCACTATGTTTCTATTACCTGTGACCTAGTAATAAGGGCCCTAGCAATCTTTGACTATCGACTTTGATCGCTCAATGATTTTATTTTTCATAAGATAGAAACCACATAAATGACCCAAATAGTACCTATCTACAATACCAAAAATGTTTCAACTTTGTTACCGTCACTTTGATTAGGTTATGGAGTCAAAAGTTTTCTTACTATGCAATTTAGATAACAATATTACCTAACTATTAATTTGTTCGTACAAACGACTAAATTAGGCACGTTAGATTGATAGCGATATAAACCAATAAACATGACATATTCTTCTAATATCCACAAAAATATAGAACAGAAAATTTTGCACTTGTTCAATACAAAATATAACATCAATGAAAAATATTCCATAGGTATACTGAAAAATCCTTCCATAAATTAATTATTCACGAATTTTACAATTTTTTACTGTTGTACAAAAACTGATGTAGAATCATCATGAAAAAATAACAATAATAAGCAAAATAGCTTCTCCGTTCCTTTTCCTAATAAAAAAGTCAAGAACATCGAAGGTCAAGGTAAGAATTGCTACACCTTTCATTTCATAATGACATATTAATGACGATTTGTACCTTTTTTATTGGTACCTACGCATATATACTTATATGTATGTATAAACGAATCCAAACACGTCTTACATTCAGATTAGTAGCAAATTTTTTCTCACTTTTTGAACACTTAAACGCTTATAACTCTGAATGAAGAACTTATTTAAATGAACAAATTGCTTTTATAATTTTTTCATTGCACTCGTAAAAACGAATTAAGTATAAGGCAAGTATTTGCGGCTTCCGTGATTTTTGGCTGTTGTTACAGATGTAAAAATAATTCGTTGGTTTGTTTTGCTCTGGATTCTATTGAAAGTAAAAGAATTTCCGAGTACCAAATACTTGTAATTGAGCAATGTAATTTATACACTTATTTATACATTGACATCAATACCAAGTTTTCTAATTTTAAAATGAATATTTAAGGGGTTCTCAAAGACAGGCTTCCGCTTGTCTAATGTGATAACTTATGTTCTTAACACAATTATTAATATATTTTAAAAAATCCAATTTTTGTTTTATCATCATTTGATTATTATATTATCTTTCTAATTGTGAGTGCGGTAAGCAGAATAGCTTTGATTTTACCAATAGGTTAACACTAAAATAAGACAACACATGCTTTAACAGGACGTGTATAGGAACCAAAACGGAAGACAAAGATCAAGAGTGAGATTAAATTTACAATATTAGCTAAGAATACATACAACCAGTTTTAAAATAGTATGCATATATTAATGATAAAATATCTTTTACTTTTATTTCGTCGTCGCATTCACTCATTACTACCGCTATCAAAAATCAATCAAAAAAGGGATTGAATATCGTAACTATAGGTGCTTATGCAATTCAAATTGGGATTTTTCGTTATGTCTATATTGTTCTCAACCGTTTTCTAAGCATGTGGTAAAAATTTTCAAGAAGTATATAAGGAACCAAGTAGTGAGAAACAAAGCAAGACAAATACAAAAAATATTTTGTTCCAAGAAAGGAATAGTTCAAATAATTTAACTCATAAATCCACTGGAAGCAATAACAATTTTTGGTTTAATATTGGGTATTTGGTCTTGGTTTTAATCTTAGTCTTGCTAATGTAAAACCAGTCTTGGTCTTACAAGACCAAGTCCAATTTCGCTCATTACTATGGCGAAGACTTTACTGTTACAAATTCCAAAAGCAATTTATTACTGCTATGTTTTTACCTTCTTACTACTGAATAACAAAAACGATTGATGACCAATGAACAAAAGAATGTCATGGTATTAAGCAACTTAAAATCCATTTTAAAACGTCTTCGCTCATTCGCATTTATTGATTGATATAAGGCAACAAATACTGACTATATAAATTTTACACTTACAAGTAGTAAAAGAAAGTTCAATTTGTATGACCCTGGGCTCGAATTTCAGCATTAATTAACTTAAATTTTTCTGTCGCAACTAAATAGATATCATTCCAATCTCCAGTATACAAAAACTGTAGCTAATTAACGTATATAGACACAGGCAGAAAATTTAGAATGTTTATGTTTATGTACTACCAAATAGTAATCATATAAGTAACCAACTTTATTAATTGGCATAATAGGTTTAAGTGTGTATTACGACTTACCATCATCTTCGTGGCTTTGGCTGCAATCCTTGCAAACTGCTGCTCGCTGTCCTCGACTGGCCATCTGTTGAAGCGCCAACAGTTGCTGTTCTCCAAGCTCCATGTCCTTGTATCCTTCAGGTGGACTGAGGGTGACCGCATCGACGAATTCGAAAGGAGGCGCGAATTTTGGACTCGGCGGGGTATTTTCCGAATAAGTTTCGTACATACTGCAATTGCAATTGGGCTCGCAACACGTAAGACGTACCATTTCGTGATCGTTACATGTACACACACTGTCATCGTCCTCGTCATCGTAATCGCACTCTTCTCGGATAAGAATTATGTAGTCGGCATCGAAAAATTCGTTTTTGTTTTCGTTGAAGACCACTCGATGTTTATTAGCACCATCTCGACCTCGACCAGGTTTCTTCAAAAGTGATTTTAAATTCTCGTGGTCGGGATTGTGTTGTTTGACCTTATCGCCATCGGTGCCCATGGTAATCGGTGCTTCTTTTGTTACAACAGAGCTTGAAGAAGAACCATCGTCTGAACTGGCAAGTTCGTCATACTCATCGTAAACAACGTAAAAGTCATCAGAATTAAATCCTTTGAACGAACCAAGCTTCTGAACATCAAATTCACATCCACTAATTGAGCCACCAAAGTCTACTTCATCTTTGTCAATCGGTGCGGTTTCAGTCAATTGATTATCGAGAGAGTCTGTTTTATATATAATGTTTTGATTTTTATCAATATCGCACTGTTTCAATAGTAAACGTTCCTCAACGTTTTCGTATTTACTTTCATCGAATTCTGCTCGATTTGTTCCGTTTTCTCTGATGTCACACGAAATACCAGCAGCTTCTTTTAATTTACTTTCTAGATACTTAATCCGAGAATGGCTATCGACGCACTTTTTGTTTATATTTCTGCTGCAGAGGATGTCTACAGAACAGACAGAGCAAGAATCGCTATTTTCGTCTGATAATCGGAAAACTAACGAAGGATACTTCTCTATCAAGGTAACCGATGGAAAGCGATCTTCATCTGCTGCCGCTCTAGAATCACTCTCATCCTTTTTCTCGTCGAACACTAAACGTCCGTTTCTAAATTCCCACTTGAGGAGCGCTAAGTCTGGATCGCTGGATGAGTTTTCAACAACTTTGGCACTATTCACGTTTTTCCTGAGATTATTAAATTCCACGTTCACGTCACTTTCAAGTTCACTAGTATAAACTGTACAGTTGGATTTTGTATCACATTTTGATGCAATAGTCACTGTGGCATCTGAATCAGTGACAGGGTCCTTACAGCTGTTTGCCGAGTGGTTTCGGGATGAAACGGGCGCAACACTAGTCCAGGCGGTCGGGATGCGACTGCATCGCGGCGCCTGTGCGCAACGTGCGCCGTCAGACGCGATCGATGGATCCGAGGCGGTTGAGGTCCCTCGTTGTGTGTCCCCCACGCACGACGCACCCGCGCAACCGGCGTCGATGTCGTCGTCGTCGGCGTCGTTTACAAAGGCATCTCCGAAGACAGCAAACCCATTCACAGAGCTGATGGCTCGTCCTTCGCGAACACCGTCCCACAATTTAGATCCAATTTCATTTGAACTGTTGTTATTGTTCGCCAACGTGACCTTCACGCTCGACATTTTTTCACACGTGACCTCCTCTGCAGTGTAGTTTAACACACGTGAGGTCGGTCCAACGATTTCGTCGTTTTCTGTATTAGAATCGAGGGCCTCTTCATTGTCTAACGTCGACTGTTTTGAAACGACTGTTGTCATTTGGTCATTGTCTCCGGACGCCCCACCTGGTCGAGTGCTTGATGCATGACGGTTGTCCTCGATTGTTTCCATTGTGTTTGTAGGTGCGTCCACAGCAACATGATTATTAATGCCGTCCATCGCCGTCTTGGGCATAATAATTACGTTGATACCTTCTACGTTTGCCTGTTTATCCCTGCCAGTCTCACGTGTATCTCTTGCTGGCGGTCGCATGTTTCCTTCCGCTTTAGAAGCTTTATTACAGTCACGGACCAGCCGATCGTGACACAATGGACCGGTTTCATCTTCAGACAAGATGCACGCGCCCACTTCCGGCGACCCACCGCAATCGTAATGCAGTCGGTCGTTCTTATCGGATGAGCGAAATTCCTCGGGCGCCTCTAGAATTATTTGCTCGTCTAAGTTTAAAGAGCTAAGAGACGCCTCAGACTCCGTCCTCGCGTCAACGGGCGGCGGAAGATCGATGTACATACCTTTGCACGCCTCCGGCATAGTTTCTGCTCCGATGACCTTGCCAGATAAATCAGGAACTACGGTGTTTTCCGCACTACAAGCACCCACGGCTTTTGTTCGTTCTTCATCGAAAGAAGATGTACCTCTTATACGCAGCAGAAGCTTCAAGAGGTCCTCCGTTGCTTTATCTGATTGACTGTTAATTTCACTTTCGGTAGATTTACTTAATGAAGTATCGACTTCGTTCAGCAAACAGTTTGAAATTCTCGTCGCGTCTATCGCTTTAAGCTCTTTATTATACTCGGAAAAATCCAAAGAACGTTCAGTTCGGTTCTTGTCTTGAAAATCATTATTCATTTCGTCTTCACTGACTCCTGAAATTTCCCGTAACAATTCTTCCTTTGACAATTCGTTCGTTTCTATTTTTGGTATTGCAACTTTTGCGATATTGGTTGTTCCAATTCCGTCTTCGTTTAAATTGGTGCCTTTTTCGAACATTTTGCAATTTTGTGTTTTGCGAGTTTCTTTTGTAGTTTCCGTTTTAACAAGTGACGAAATTTCTAGTTGGAGAAATTCTTTGTCGTGCAATTCGCAAACGGCTTGGGTCATGTTTATATTCGTTTCTCCTGATTTCGATGAATTGATCAGTTGCTCGGTTAAATTTGACAAAGGATAACCAGGGACGGTTAGTTCAGACACAAAAGAACCCATTTCGCACCGATATCCTCGTATCGTAACTGGCCCTTTTTGGCTATTTGTTGAAGATTTTTATCGCGAAAACATGTGAACCACGATTCTATTGTTGACTTATCCAACCTATCAGGGGCACTCTACTATTGCTGATTCTCTTCTAATTGCCTTTTGCTACGTTTCGCCGTTTCGGTATACGAAAATATTGAACTCCACCATCGCATACTGCTAATAACCTTCTTTTTATTGCGCAACATTTCATCCCCCGTTATTTTGATAACTCTGGGTCCGATACCTTTGTAATTAACCTGAAACAAAAGAATAAAATTTTAGCAATTATTTCCTAACGCACAACACATAACATGGACTAATAACATAATGTAAATGTGTACCTCGATAAGGCCAGCGTGATTAATGTGTTATTGTTAATAATTGGTATACATATATACAATATTAATAATAATAGCGAAATCATAGGGTTAGAGTCAGGCGCGTACCTAGGGGGGTTAACTCTCCCCCGAAATTAAAATAATACACTAAACAACTGATAACACCGTAATAGAAACAAGTGGTGGTGAAGAATCTATTTAAAGATGAGAAAGTTACTATAATAACCAGTACAATTTATTATTACAAATATGTAGAGGGTAGGGGGGGCAGGGAATGATAATTTTGTAAGAAATATGGTTTATGGTAGAGCTGGGCAAACTCCAGCTCTCTTGACTCCAGAGTGCTTCTCAGGTATAGCCAAGGAGCTCCTCATTTCTTCTGCGAGTGCGATTGGGATGATTATTTCCTTTTCTTATCCCTTCCATATAGGTTAGTCCCCTCTTCTATAGCCGAACCCAATAGTTTTGCGACCGCAATCCGGCATGCTACCCCTGAGCTGCGGGACGATCATTAGAAAATTTTCGTAGGTATTATTTAAGTTGCATTGGAGGGTATGGAGTGACCCAAACTAATCTCAGGTAGCGGCTCCTACGAAGTTAAAGTTTTCCCGGCTCTGATTTATGGTAAGGGTTCGAACCGAGCTAGCGTGCCTTTCTGGGCGATTGGATATAAAGGCGAAATATTTTGAACAGACTGTGAATGAAAAAAATGGTTAATTCTGATTGAAAACAGACACACTGAAGTGTATTAACAATTTTATATACAATATGTAAGTACACACATTTTATGAAGAATAAATTTAGGTCCAATTTATATACAAAAATAAACATAATTAGATTAAAAATTAGTCCCTCGGCCAAGGAAAATCCTGCCTACACCCCTGGTTACAGTGATAAATTTACGAAGAATAATCGAATATTAGTTGGTTACATAATTTATTTCATTGAAACGGTTCATCAAGGTATCCATGAAACGATTTTTATGATATCACAACCTTAAAGTTATCAATAGACTCAATAAAAGAATCCCCATTTTCGTTAATATAATTATTTTTTCGTTTGTTTATTCTAGTTATGATTATCTATTATACTTAATAATTATTCCAAAAGAACTGAGACACCAAATTGGTTTAATTTTTGGAAACAATTCAATAACCAAATTTTTAATATACTTCATAATAGTAAATGACGTTAAAAGCTGTAACGTTTATTAAAGACAATTTATACAGTATCATTTGTCCGTGGCCTTTTTTCGATAACATAATTATCAGCACCCACCTGGTTACGCTTTTAAAAAAACTCAAGTTAATATCTCTCGTGTATACAATAAAAGAAAATTTTACTTAACTTCGGATATTGAAAACAAAAAAGCAGAGTAAACAAATTTTATTAAATTACTTGGAGGAAAAGAAAATACTTTTTGATTATAAAACGAAAAACAGCATTCCGCTTCGCATAAATGAATTTACGCAAAAAATATACCTGTCTGTAGATAGACATACTAATTTAATTTCCAAAATATTTTTCGTCAAAATCCTCTTTCGTCATCAATAGTTTAATTACAGAGAATTCTAGTGAAAATGTGCTTTAATTAATTTGAAAGAAAATTATCTGAAAATGGCAGAAGTTTATTTAAAATAAATACGTATATAAAAAATAAGCACTTTTGTGTATGAATATAACAGCTTTTCTTAATTAATTCTACAATATTGTTTCGCCTTACTGTGGCTTTAACAGAAGCCGCAGTTAACTAAAATTTTATACGAAATTTCGCCATATAAAATTAGAGAAACCATCAATTAATACAATTTAGGACAATAACAGAACACGAGTTGAAGTTTTCCCCTAAATGATTATACTAAAGACTAAAGGATACAGCCACTTGACATTTCAATAGCATTCTTGGATTTGGAATTTCAACAAGAAAACTTAAAAACAAAACATCGGCAAAGAGCTATTTTCTGTACTTATTTTTAACAATTTTAAAAGAGACAGATAGAAAATTAAAATTTAAAATATAATTAATAAATAACGATTTAATTTTAAACTTAAAAAAGATTAAAGCGTGACATTTACAATTTTGAGAACCTGCGATTTCAGAAAATTGATGATGACTGTATTATTTTTTTACCGCCTTTCACATGAAGTTTCCTGATAACTGAACTGATAAGTGTGAGTAATACTACAAGAGTAACGAAATTTTTCTGTACTAAAATATTACGAAAATTGGGCAAGCATATATACATAGATACATATATGTATCTATGCTTAAAGTGGAAAGGAACGTAATAGAGATTGCTTTGAAGTCAATATGCAATTTACTTGTTGTGAATCTTTCTTGGGGTGGAATATTTGATGCAAACAAATAAAAACAAAAGCTATATTGAGAAAATTGTTAAGCAGAATAAGAAAACTTACTCTAACTTTGAAAACCTTGGGCTTTAAAATGAGAAAAAAAAATAAGAAGAATAGTGAAACTGAAAATATAAAATCAATTTCGTATTAATTTCATTTTAATCTTATTTCAACACTAATTGTATGTCAGAAATAGTTTTCAATTATATTATATTGTATTTTGTGAATATAAGCTTAATTATCTGCATACAGATAAGATATTAGATTCTACCATTATATCATGATAAACTGACGAGGTCATTTATCAGGTGGACCCTCGCAGTACAATATTTATATGTAGCCTTCGTCAGCAAGAGCTAATAAATGTGGTCACATGATAATTGATTTTTCAATTATTTTAGTAGCAACTATTGAGTATAGAGTCTGAAATCTTATTACCCTTCCCTCTTTGAATACTACAAAATAAAAACTTCTTGTTGGAGAATAAGAAGAAAAAACAACAAAATTACCCCTAGACAAAAATTTTCAGTCTTTATCCAGTCTCTCAGAGTCTTTCAGCGTCTCTGAGAGCGTTCCTTACAGTCTTTCACAGTCTCTTAGTTATTGTCTAGGTGTTTTTTTATGGATCTCTCACAGTTTCTGTATGAGAGGCTCAAACGATAAAATTGTTAATTCAGAGATTCGAGTCTCTCACAGAGAGGCTGAATGAATAAAACTGAAAAATTGAGACTCAAGTTTTTCGTAGAAAGACTGGGATCTCTGAAACATGTTGAACTTAGAAAATTTTAACCATGTCTATCGAGACACCACTTATTGAGAGATTCGAGTCTCTCGTTCAGAGACTGGATACGAAATGAGGATCTCTCTATGAGCGACTCGAGTCTCTCGTTCAGAGATTCGAGTCTCTCGTTCAGAGACTGGATACGAAATGAGGATCTGTCTGTGAGAGACTTGAGTCTCTCGTTCAGAGACGCTAAACAGCTTTTTTGACAGTCTCTCGACAGTCTCTCTCAGCTCCATCAGAGAGACTCGATGAGAGACAAAGTTTCGAGTCTCGCTTTCATAGACTCTGTGAAAGAGTGAAAATCTTTATCTCGGGACTCCAGGAAACAGTTCCAAATAGTCCTTGAGATAGGTACCTACTAAATATCTTTTTTGAGTCATTTAACCTGCTACCAAATTAAAAAAAAAATTATAGTTGCTGAGGAAGATTTAATAAAGTGGCGAAACGTTCAATGAAATTTCGATTGTGGTTTTTCGATTACTGTTTTGGTCCAGTTCCTTATGATTCATATCCAAATTGAGAAGTTAATTATATTTTTTTCCCTGATTCTTTATTGTACTTCTTTGGGTCAGTTTAGGAAGGTAAAATGGACAATAAATTATTTATTGAACTATAATAGAATTATTGAAATCCCTAGAAAATCTCACTCCGGCCCTAGACAAAAATTTTCAGTCTCTCCAGTCTCTCAGAGTCTTTCAGCGTCTCTGAGAGCGTCTCATAATCTTTCACAGTCTCTCAGTTATTGTCTAGGTGTTTTTATGGATCTCCCACAGTCTCTGTATGAGAGACTCGAACGATAAAATTGTTAATTCAGAGATTTAAGTCTCCCATAGAGAGATTGAATGAATAAAGCTGAAAATTGAGAGACTCGAGTCTCTTGTAGAAAGACTGAGATTTCTGAAATATGTTGAACTGTTGTTTTAAACATGTGTCTAGATTCGAGTTTCTCGTTCAGAGATTCGAGTCTCTCGTTCAGAGACTGGATACGAAATGAGTATCTTTCTATGAACAACTTGAGTATCTCGTTCAGAGACGCTAAACAGTTTTTTTGACAGTCTCTCGATAGTCTCTCTCAGCGACACCTGAGAGACTCGATGAGAGACGGAGAATCGAGTCTCGCCTTTAGAGACTTTGAGAGACAACATTTTTATCTTAGGGGGGTGTACGTTTTACTAAAGCAAGTGGGTAGATTTAACTGACACAGCAATGGCATCATTACGGTGGAGAGATAAGGAAGTAACTTTGAAATACATGGCAAAATAAGGAAAAGTTCCTGTTCCAGATGACGTATTTTGATTAACTCTACTTCTCCATGAATCGTCACATTGTTAGCTACTCCACACATTTCCAAAAGACATCGCATCTGCAAACGACAAAGTTTTCCATTTCGGATATTGTTTCGTCGCATCCAATAAACTACAGTTACCATGTGGCGTGCGACAAGAAACATATTCTTAGTTTAAAACCGCATTGAACTTTTCATGTTGAAAGTTAAAAACCTGTCTGGATGCTTGCTTTATGTAGAGCTCGGATGAAGTTCTGCTTTATCGCGCTCTCTTACCGTATATCCGGTTCCACAAGAATGAATTTTACCCTAAAAAGGTTTTTTCTCCGCGAAACTTTTATGAGTAAATTACAACAGGCATGTTCCAATGGAATGAGGAAATATGTATAAGTATACACAATATACGAGGGTGGATTGATAAGTTTCCGGCCTAACCAAGAGATGACGCCACTAGGCCTACCTTGAGGTGACATTCTATAGTACCATCCTTGGATA